ACAAATGAATTACTCAGGTGAAGAAGAAGAAGAAGAAGAATCTGCCACGCCCACATCATCGTCTTCTTCACGACGATCACCATGTCGGATCAGCTACCGTCAGCGCCATCATACGAATCGTGACACTCCTAGTTAGTTTGTGTTGTATTCGGGGAATTTTGTGGNGGGACGTCGTCAAGCCAAGTTTTATCACAAGAGAGCTACGTCCAACCCCAGAGGACGCAGTCACACCGAGCGAGGCATCAACCTTCTTCCCATATTCGTGGAGGTAGAAGACGACGTCACCGCGAACCAGTTGCCGACGACGGGCCTGAGGATCAACAAGAACAAGGTAAACATCTTTTAGTTAACAAAAATATAACTTATTTTTGTTTTGTGATTTTTTGTTAAGTCAAATTTATGATTTCTTAAAAAACTCAGCTGTAGAAGAAGAACAAGAACCTACCACGCCCACAGCATCGACTTCTGCACAACCACCACAGCGTCGGATTAGCAACCGACCGCGCAACCCTACGAATCGATACACTCCTAGTTAGTTGTGTTGTATTCGGAGACATTTTGTAGACATATATATTTATTTTTTTCTTTCGTGGATTTATGTGTAATCTATACTTATATTAAAAGGTATACCATTTACCAGATTTAGTATAAAAAAAAGTCAACAACATTTATTGCATTACTATTTCCGTATTATACAATCNTGTGTTGTATTCGGAGACAATTTGTAGACATATATATTTATTTTTTTCTTTCGTGGATTTATGTGTAATGATATTTGAACTTGTTTGGTATTTTATATTTGGAAAGTGAATTATTGTGCTTCATTATTGTTTCTTTGACATGGTTGATATGGGTTTTGTGAATTTATATTTGGTTGTGGAATCGATCTCGATTAACAGGTGTGTTTTTGTAATTTTGTTTCTGTGAATTGCTGTTTTTGCACAGTAAAACGTATTTTCAAAATACGTTTTTGTACTGTGTAAAATTAGGTCAGAATCGATTTGGGGATAAAATTAGGGCGCAATCAATTTGGGGCAAAATTCGGTTCAAAAACGGATTTTCAAAATACGTTTTTTACTGTGTAAAATTAGGTCAAAATCGATTTGGGGATAAAATTAGGGCGCAATCAATTTGGGGCAAAATTAGGTTGAAAAACGTATTTTCAAAATACGTTTTGTGTTTGTGTAAAATTAGGTCAAAATCGATTTGGGGATAAAATTAGGCGCAATCAATTTGGGGCAAAATTAGGTTGAAAAACGTATTTTCAAAATACGTTTTGTGTTTGTGTAAAATTAGGTCAAAATCGATTTGGGGATAAAATTAGGGCGCAATCAATTTGGGGCAAAATTATGTTCAAAAACGTATTTTGAAAATACGTTTTAGTTTTGCAAATATTATTTTCCAAAAAAATAAGTTTTTTTAAAATCAAAAATATTAATTTTAAATATTTTAACGGAAAACGTATTCCCAGAATACGTTTTTAAGCTATTTTAATTAATTTAATTACGTTAATCACCTTAATTAATTGTTTCTAATGAACACGTATTATTAGAATACGTTTTTCTATAAAAACGTATTTTAGGAATACGTTCTTATTTAAAAAACGTATTCTAAGAATACGTGCTTTTGATATTTTTCCACTTGTTTTATTTTTTTTTATTTATGTCCACTTAATTTTTTTTATTTTTATATAAATAAATAAATCATGTAGCATTACTCAATTATAATACATAAAAGGTAGAAGTTGAGCTTTATAATACTCAATTTTTATTTAGTAATGATTTAGAATAGAACAAGTATTCTAACTCACCTAATCAAAGTCAATATATCTTTAGTTAAATGGTTAGGGGGGACAATAATAATTAAATATACTTAATCTAATATATTACATATATACTTAGGTAAAAAAGATAAAAATAAAAAGTTTGGGGGGACCATTGCGCCCATAATTTCTTCTCCAGTTTTGCTAGGCGATTTCTTCGAGCCACTATGTTTGGATTTAGATTGAAATTGAAGGCTCCTCTCGACAAGTTTGTGGTCCACCTTAGTTTTAATGTTGAGGAGCCCAGAACTGGATCTCAGCTGGGGGGTCCTCCTTAGCCGGTATTATACTGCTTCCGACGACGACATGATGGTCGGTTTTCACTAGAGAGAGAAAAGAAAATTGAATGATGAAGGAGAGAGAGTTTGGAGAGAGAAAAAGAGGTGGGAAGTTTTGAAATATACCATTAAGCAACTTCATATCACCAAAAGATCTAAAAAAGAAACAAATAATATTAGAAATTCTATATTTTGTGCATATCCTTCAAATCTGCTAATAAAAAAAATTCTGGTAGATATGCAAATATTTTTGAACGAGTTCGGCACTGGCGTAATTTTCTCATTAATTTAAGTCCAAACTCTGGACCCAATTCATTCAAACTCAACATCTTATTGGTTAGGTCCGAGAAAGAGGCCCATGTTGGTTAGCGAGCAACAAAATATTTTCTTTAAAAAATACAAGATTTATTTTTAATAACACCACTAATTATTAATCTCACAGTTAATAAAGTTAATATTAACCAATTAATTACAGTTACTAAAAAATGAATCATTAATTACCTGCAACATAGTGGCCAAATATCTCGGTGATCGTGTAAATCTTTACCATAATCTCTACAAAATATTCTCTACAACTTTTCATCTGCAAATTTTCAATCTCTCTACCAAATCTCAATTCCAAAATTTTTATCCCTCTCTCAAATCTCAAACTCTGAGGTAGACGATGATTTTATATCGAAACCCCAACAATGACGAACAAATTTTCAAACTGGACAAGAGCGAGGAAAATTACCGGAAGCAGACTCTGAGGGTGATGACGATTTTGTATCCAATCCGAAAATTGAAGAACATGTAGACCCCAGAAAGAAGAAGAGAAAAATTGCAAAAAAGGGTAAATGCAAGATAGTTGGATCTCCAAATTATCGACAAGAGTAGGATCCCGATTTCGTCTTGATGAAGACGAAAAAGACCATTCAGCTGGCGTTAGAGGCGGACTTCTCTACTGATCACTGATGACATTGAATCATTCAATCTACCGAAATTTGAAATCATGCTTTTTTTTTTTTCGAAATAATGAATTGGACTTCGATGTATTATTATTATGTTTTTGATGATTTTAGGATGGTTTTTGCTTGTGCACTATCAGGTTGAAATATTCATGTTTTGTTTTGGATTTTTAGTTCAAGGTTGTTAACTTGTCGCTATAAAATGCATATGTTTAATTTTTAATTGTTTCTTGTTTAATTTATGATTATTTTTTTTATTATAAAACATGATGTATGTTAGTAGGTATTAGTTGTGTAGTATACAATAGTTATACATATATTACATACAGTCTCGTAATTTTCAAGGTACACAAAATGACGTATGAATCACGGTTAACAGGTTAACACAATATTGTACAGCTAAACTATTTGATGGTAATTTTATAGTTTATCTAATGTTTGTGTAGACAAGAATAAATTATGTAAGTGTGAGAAACATATACACATAATATATATTAATTATATTAAAAAAATGTATAAGTAATATATACATGTCAAATACATTAGTTTAACATGAGAAAAAAACTTTCTCCCATCCGAACTATAAAGATATTCGCTCATACCCATATAAACTTTTTTTTTACAAACCACCACTTGAATTATACGGGTTTGTCAAATTGCCATCTAAACCGGATATAAAAGTGGTTTTAACTAAAAAAAGCTGATTTTTAAGAGCATTTCAGTAATTTAATATATTTTTTTAAAAAAAAAAAGAAAAAAGAAATAAATAAGGGCATTTCAGTAATTATTGTCTCATAATGAAAAAAGAAAAAGTACCATAGTTCCACTCATGCTCCTCATGCAACGTAGAAATTTTTTTTTATTTTTTTTTTCACAAGGATAGATTTTATAACATAAAAGAATAAAATGACAATATGTACAAATCGTACTGCATGGGAGCAGAATAAGAGGAGCACCAATAGACGGTGTCCTAACCAAAATACTCAAAAGGACCATTTCACGAGCCTATTCTTGACATGGGCTGAAGCCAAGAGGACCAAGATAGGAACTTGAAATGGGTATGCTAATACTATGAAAGCAACATCAAAAAGATAAACTTGCCACTGAACCCAAGGACCTAGCAAGTTTACCACTACAGCAACTAACAAAGGAAGTAGATACACAAAGCAAATAAAATAACAAGCTAATGGGAGAGCTGTAGAAGGGTTATAAATTGTGCGCATTAACATATTCCAACCAGGCAGATGTTGCTGAGTGAGCTATGGTGAACTCAGATAGCCAGTAGTTTTGAAAGACCCATAGGTTGCGGGCCTTCCAAATCCACCACAACAGGTAGATGGTGAGCTGCAGTCTTCTATCAGCTATGGTGTTCTTTTTCAGTGAGCTAAGTTTGATCCACCAGTGTTTTGAAGTTTGAGGTGCAGTCTTCAATGCCATCCCAATCAACAGAGGCCAGTTTCCACACAATTTTGGTTTTAGCACAATGGAATAACAGGTGTTTAATGGTTTCCAGGTCTGCCCCACAGATTTTGCACACAAGATCAATAGCATTCATTCTCTTGTGGAGAGCTTGATTGACTGGGAGATAGTTGTTGAGGCACTTCCACAAAAAATGTTTAAGCTTCCCTGAGAGACCACATTCTTTAATGGTGCCATTTCTTTAGTTTAAGTATCGTAGGTTTAATAAAAAAAATGAAGAAGTTGGTTTCAAAAAATAAAAAAAGAAAAATGAATGAGGCGTACGCTTAGGAGCTGACTCTTCGCCTTCTTCATGGCCATCGGAGATGTGCTCGGCTACGACACCGGAGCCGCCTGTGGCCTCCACTGCCACCTCCCGGGGATGACGAATTTTTTTTTTCAAAGAGAAAAATGAATAGCTTTTTCATATACATATTGAATTAAAATATTATTGAATTTCAATTTTCAACATGCCAAGTCAAATGTTAGTTATTTTTAAAGAGCTATAAAAATGAAAAAGCATTAATGCAAAATATTATCTCTTTTGCTTTCTTACCTGGAAAATGAGAAGAACAAGCTCGACCACTAGTATTTTGGTGGCGAGAGGGACAACGACGACCGACATGACTACGCGATCTGCATTGCATAGGCACATGACCACCGCCACCCTGAACCACTTCGCCGCCAAGAACCCGCCTTCCCACCGTCCCGCGGGCAGGCCCCTCTCCAACCCCTCCGTCACGCACCTCGCCTGAAAACCGCCCGACCCCCGACGCCACCTTTCGCGGCGGGCCCACCACCCTGCCTCCGCCAGGTTGCATGCAGATCTGACGGTCAAAAAATTTCTCCAGCATCCACGAGAAAAAGGCTCGACCTTTTTGAATGGAGTCGATGACCCCGAAACTAGCTTGGCCCAGATGGGGTCGAGGGCCGCCACCTCCACCAGTCAGGTGGCGGCGACGACCTTCCTCCTCCCCTGTGTCCCGCGCCACGTCCTCATCGCTCTCAACATCAAGATCCTCAAGGCTGCCGAAGAGCGCTCGAGCGGTGGCTCCCTTGACGACGTCTCCTTTCTGCTCCGCTCCAACTTCTATGCAGAGCCCGCCGCCACCTACGTGGTCGCCGACGACATCGCCAGCATCGTAGGCAATTGATCGAACACGTCATGACCAATCCCATGGAGATTCTGAGCATGAACACGAAATGCGGGTTATCGAGATTTTGCGAGAGGAAGTTTGAAGAGCTTGTTTGCCCGACCATGGAGTGCTCGATTTTCAGACATCTAGACAAGAAGGAGAAAGTGTTGGATTCTTGGAAATCATTGGCTATTTTTCACGAGTTGTTGGTTAGGATGGCGAGCTCGATTTGGCTACTTCATAAGGTGGCCTCCTCTTTTAATCCTGTGATTGAAAAAATTTTCCAGTTCGAGAGGGGAGTAGAATTGTCGATGGTGTACATGGAGTATGTTTGGGGGAAAAAAGGTGTTTTTGCGGGAGAGAATAAGTCGATAGTTGGATTTACGGTGGTGCTGGGATTCAAAGTCAGTGTTGCCACTATTTTCTTTCTTCATTTATTTCATTTTTCTTTTTTCTTTTTCGAAAAATATATAAAATTACTAAAATACCCTTAAAAATCAGTTTTTTTTTTTAATTAAAACCACTTTATTTATATTCGGTTTAGGGGGCAATTTAATAAACCCGTATAATTCAAGTGGTGATTTGTACAAAAAAGGTTAGATTATGAAGCGCGAAAATTATTATAGTTCGGATGGAAATTTTTTTTTTTCTTGTTTAACATACACGTCACAGATAATTGGTAAGAAAAAATAGTATAAAAGAAAACTTAAAAACCTAATTGATGGTCGAATCCCCAATCCGTTAGCCACAAATAAATAGCACAACCAAATTCAAGTCCCAAACCAAGAAGTCCCCAAGTATAGGCAAGAACTTGAATAAAATCTATTGGTAGAACAAGTGAGTAATGCAAGAGATCAAAACTAAACGCATAATGAAAATACAAGACAATAGATGGAAAATATTAGTCCATAGAAGAAACGTAAAATAAATCTAATTGAATGTCCACCTCTATAGCCATAAATAAGCAGCACAACCGAATTCAAACCCCAACCATGTCGTCGCCCAAGGTAGGGCAAAGAATACGAATGAACCATATTGCTAGCATAAGAGAACGAAACAAAAAGACCAAAATTAAAATGATAAGAAAACAATAAGGAATTAACAAGGTTCCAGTACAAGGGAGTGAAACAGAGGAGTAAAATTTAATGTTGCAGGTTCGCCAAATACAATGTTATTATAGTTCATTGAAAACTCTAAACTCTAATTTAGACATGGCCAAACCCGTTTTTGGGTGGTAACCGCCTGTTTCGGGCCAAGCATTGGCCGGCTTTGGACCGGTCCAAACATATACACGGACCACTTCGGTGAACTAGTGGTTCTGGGCCGTCCCGGTTCACCATAAATATTAATATTATTAATAATAATAAATAAAGAAAGGGCCAAACAGACGGTGACGGTTCAGAACCGACCCGACAATTCAAAAAGTGCATATTTGTGGCCCAAAACCAGCCAGATCAAGCACAGACTCGGTTCAAGGTCCGATGACCATGGGCCGATTCCGAGCCAGTTCAAAGCCGATTTTGAGTTGACCCCTAGTCATGTCTACTCTAATTAATAGCTCGCAACCAAATCTACAAGTCCTAGCACAAAATTTAGGACTTAAACTCAATTTCATGCCACATTAGTACCGACACATCAAAGATGGCAAACCATTTTTAAAACTGCAACTAAGGAAAAACATTAGAACGCACAAAACTAAAACAATATAATAGACTATCCAACCCCTTAGCCGTAAATACATAAGCTATGTTTGGCAAATAAAGTAGCTTATAGCTTATTTGATTAGCTTATAAGCTTTCTATATTTAAATAAGTTTCGTTTGGTAGGACAAGCTCGAGGTTATTTCATAATTTCTTTGGGTAGCTCGTTGAAATTTTTATTTCACCTAGCTTATCATCTAATTTTACCAAAACATTTTTATCATATGAGCTACTTTTCAGTATAAGTCATAAGCTCAAAAATTAGTGATAAGCTACAAGCTAGTTTATCAGCTGGTTTTACCGAACATAGCCATAGTATAAGCCCCACCAAGATGTACCCCTAAGGGCCAAGAAATCGAAAAGTGGTACTGATAGCACAAGAGAATAGAATAGAAAATTAATATTAAAATAATAAGGAAATAAAGAGATCATTGGTAAGAAAATATTAATATATAAGAAAACTTGAAGTTTAATGGAATGTCCAACCCCTTAGCCCCAAATAGGTAGCAGAACTAAATTCATTGGCCAAACGAAGACATCCCAGAGCCAGAGCAGCAAGATGGCTGAATGGTAACACCACGAGATCAAAATTAAAAGTATATATATATAATAAAAAAAAAAAAGTCCTTAAAATATTACTATATAAACCAAACTAATAAAAATCCAATTGAATGTCCAACTCAATAGCCACAAATAAGAAGCACAACCTAATTGAAAGACCAATCTAAGTCGTCACACAAGGTAGGACAAAAAATCAAATAAAGCATATTGATTGCATGAGAGAACGGAACAAAATGATCAAAGTTAAAAAAATGATAAGGAAACAAAAAAGTCATTAATAAGAAAATATTAATACATAGAAAACACAAAATATGTACGAACACCAACCTTACCCCAATTAGCACAATGAAATTCAAAGACAAAAACTGTATTAGTCAGAGAGTATGGCAAAGGAATTCAACGAACCATATTAAGAACACAAGAGAGTGAAACTGGAGATTAAGATTTAAGGTTGCAGGTTCTTCAAAATAGAATATTATAGTGGATTGAAAAAACTCTAAACTCTAATCAATGGCTGGCAACTATATCCACAAGTCACAACACACATCCAATTTAGGGCCCTAACTGAGTTTCATGTCACGGTAGCACCAGAACATCAACGATGGCAAACCATTTTTTGAAATAAAACTATTGCTAAGAAACTACTAGACCATAGAAAAAACCAAAAAATATAATTGAATTCCCAACCCCTCAGTCGCAAATACATAGCACAATCAAACTGAAAGCCCAAACCAAGTCGTCTTTTCTCTAATGAGATATGGCAAAGAAATTGGATGGGCCGTATTGATAGTGCAAGAAAACAGAACACAAAAAATTAACGCTACAAGGCCAAAACCAAGACGTGCCAAGGCATGGCAAGAAATTGGATTAACTTTATCGGTAGCATAAGAGATCAAAATTAAAAGCATAATGAAAATATAGGACCTTAGATGAAATATATTAGTACAAAGGCCAAAGTTATAAAACGACTAATTGAATGTCCAACTCTATAGCCACAAATAAGCAGCGCACCCGAATTTAAACCCAAACCAAGTCGTCGAAGGTGGGGCAAAGAAATCGAATGAACCATATTGATATCATAGGAGAATTGAACAAAAAAATCAAACTTAAAATATAAGGTAATAAGTAATTAATAGCTAGAGGTCACTTGATATGGGTAAAAGAACTGATGCTAGAAGATGGTCTAGGCTAAAATACTTGGTTCGTGAACCAGTTGTTTAATGTTGTTTAATGCAGAGGAGAACCAACTATTCTGAATATTAAGACTTTGAACCCTAGGAAGAAAGACAGGTTCTTTTGGTGCCTTGACAAGAAATGTCAATTTCCTGTACTACTTATTCACACTTGATCAGTCAGAAGCTTCTGCACTTAGATGTTCCGAAAAGAGTTTGAACACCAATGCAATTCGAGGAATTAGACTCAGGAGCTGAAGCCTAAAGATTAAAGGGACAGTAAAACATTTCATCTGGAAATGTTTGTTTCTCTGGACTTTTACCTGTGAAGATGAACTTGCTAAAAAAAGGTCCGTCTGTTGATGTGTTGTGCCCTTGTTGTGGAGAATCTCCTGAAACCATTGAACATGTCTTCCAGCACAAATGTTGTGGAATGTAGGTCCAATTAAATGGATGGTATACGCATTGATGATTGTTCTTTCAGGTCTTGGTGGTCGCAGATATGCTCCATTGACAAATCACAGGTTGCAGAAGACAGGATTCAGTTTACAACATACCTACTAGGTAGTATAGAAAAATCCAATTGAATGTCCAAACTCTTTAATCATAGACCAAACTAATAAAAATCCAATTGAATGTCCAACTCAATAGCCACAAATAAAGAGCACAACCTAATTCAAAGACCAATCGAAGTCGTCACACAAGACAAGGTATTATAGAAAAATCAAATGACATTAATAGCAAAGGAGAATGGAACAAAATGATCAAAGTTAAAATAATAAGGAAACAATAAGTCATTAACAAGGAAATACTGATACATAGAAAAAAATATATACGAACATCAACCTTTCCCTAATTAGCACAATAAAATTCAAAGACAAACCATAACAATCACAATGTATGGCAAAGGAATTCAACGAACCATAATAAGAGCACAAGAGAGTCAAACAAGAGGTTAAGATTGTAGGTCCTTCAAAATAGAATATTATGGTGGATTAAGAAAAGTCTAAACTCTAATCAGTGGCTCGCAATCACATCCACAAGTCACATCACACGTCCAATTAAGGGCCCACAACTGACTATCATGCCTCTGTAATGGCAAACCGTTTTATGGAATAAAACTAGTGCTAAGAAACTATTATAACATAGACAAAACTAGAAAATATAATTGAATGTCCAACCATTTAGCCGCAAATACACAACACAATTAGAACTAAATGCACCAACAAGATGTCCCCTCTCTTGATAGGGCAAAGAAATCAGATGGGCCGTACAGAGAGTACAAGAAAACAAAACAAAAAGTAAATGTTAAAAGAATTAGAAAATAAAGAGATCATTGATAAGAAGAAATTAATAATAAAAAAACATTAAAAATCTACTAAGAGGTCCAATCTCTTAGCCACAAATAGGTAGCACAACCAAATTCAAGATCCAAACCAAGACGTCCCCAAGGCAGGGCAAGAAATTGGATGAACTGTATTTGTAGCACAAGAGATCGAAATTAAAAGCATAATTAAAATACAAGACCTTAGTTGGAAGATATTAGAACACAGACCAAAGTTATAAAAAGATTAATTGCATGTCCAACTCTATAGCCACAAATAAGCAGCACACCGGAATTCAAACCCAAACCAAGTCGTCGCCCAAAGTAGGGCAAAGAATTCGAATGTACCATTTTGATTGCATAAAAG